ATATATATATATATTATAAATGTTTTCAGATAGTCAATTGGATTGACGTATATACGTCAATGTAAAGTTTACGTTTTCTCTTAAAATGTCAAAATTGCAATGCGTGATATTTCACATCGACATTAATATTCTTGTTACATTACCTTCTAACATCATATATTAGGTATCAAAGTTTAATGTTGGATTAGTAAGTCAAATATGTAAAGCGCAACAGAGTTATAAGTTCTTGCTGTCTTTGCAATCTCTTAACAAAATTTCTATAACCGCATGACGTTATAATTAAGAAATTATATTGTGGGATCATTTTAATCCAATTCCGCCAACATGACGGAACCGGAGATTGAAACTGATCAGACAGTGACTGATCAGACGGAACCGGAGATTGAAACTGATCAGTCAGTGACTGATCAGACCAGCGAACTTTTGAAGGAGGTTAAGACGGATGCGATCGATACCGATCTAACGGAAGACGCAACGACTGATGATCAAATATCCATCAAATACAAGAGTAGCGATTATCAAAGTGAAATAAATGGAGATAAGGAGGAAGGATCTTGGGTGGATAGGAGATGGGCTCGCGAGGATGAATCCTTTTGGCCCACTTACATGAAATCGTAAGGAATATTCAAGGCATTTTTTTTCTTAATTGCGAATGTTATGTCGCACCTGATAACTCGACGAATTTGCACGAAGCATCGCGTAGATACGTGGAGTCGCGGTTGAAGCTGAAGAAAGAAGATGAGCGAAAGACAAGAACGCCCGATGTCGCGGAAGTCGTCGAGGGGATATTTCCTCCCTACGAGTGTTTTCCCCTCGGCGGCTTTCAACTTGAGCATCGACCTAGGACGACTGTTAGACCAGATCGACGCAGGAGGATGCAAATCTGGAGAAACATGAGAGCGAGACAGTCGGTTAGTCTGGAAAGGGAGCGTCAATCGCGCTTAAATTATTTTCTACTTAATTGAAATATTTTAAAAAATTTTCCTTTATCGAAATTTCGGACCAAAGTCTCGGTAAAATTTGCGATTGTATGTGACAAATACGAGGATTGTGTGCGTTACTTATTTTCCTTATTTATTTCTGAAGCTATACTTATTTTCCTTATTTACTTCTGAAGCTATCGTTTACACATGATGCAGACATGTGTATTCTGCAATTTGCGATGTTTGACAGAGGATACGGGACAAGAAGGGGACAAGAAGGATATTGAGAGTTAGAAGCAGAAGCTTATGGCCATGTCTGCGAGATGCGGATATCGAACTAGAGACACGGGAGAAGGGAGGACGGAGGAAACGAAGAGATAAAGACGAGCCTCTTCTGCGCGAGCAAAGGAGTGACTTCGCTAATCGCAAAGAATTGGGCCACGTTCGCGTGCCAGTGTCCTATCCGGAGATGGAGTTATCCTATATGATGAATCGCGCAGCTGGCGAACGTCCTGGTCTGGTAGACGGTGACTATGTCATCGTGCAATTGCAGTCCAAAGGAAAGAGTCGCGTTTACGCGAACGTAGTTCTTCACGGCTTGAAGGGCATGCATTTACCGGAACTAAGCCAGCTGCGAGAGCGCAGAAACACTTGGAAGTTCTGCTTCTATCAGGCAATCGTCGCACTGTTAGCTAAAACTCAGCTCAGGTATCGATGAATGTCGAAGTGTGATAAGCATAATGAAGCGATTAACACAGTATGGATATTCTAATTTCCAGGCACTTTGATAACTTTCAGTTTTATTTTCATTTAGTCTATTTTAAAGTGAATTGAATTATTTATGCATATTTTCCTCTCTGGTTAATAGAGATCTACTTCCTTTATTTAAAATTTGTTTGGAAAACTCTCGTCAAGGTAAAAAGACACACGCCGGATATCCGAATTATTCTGCGTGACGTTTTGCATTGGAACAATGAAAATTCGACTGTGCTGTACTTTTACGAGAGTTAGGATCCAATCATAAGGATCCTATCATTTCCCTTAAACCATCTCCCAAAGGTAATAAATAAATTTGGCGTTATCTTTACTATGTCTTCGCATATTCGGAAGATACAAATACGCATGGAGCGCCAATATCGATTATATCTATGACCACGCCTGGATGCTTTACACCCACATCGGCACGATTAACGTAAAGGCAAAGCAGCGTCTGGACGACGTCGTCGTGTACAACTACAAATACAACGTTGAGCTAGAGCTGATTCAGGAAATGAAGGATGTACCCGCGGCGAACGTCACTTTCTTCTACGGGGAGAGAGGCCTGAAGGAGCAGATTACGTTACGCAGGAAGGATCCCCTGCGAGTCAGAGTGGAGCTCGGATGTCAAAAGGTGACGGATCCCAAATACATGTCCGTGCACGCAGGCGTGCGAAGGATCGAGAAATGGCTCGGTAAACTGGCCGCGCGGTATCGCGATTGCATATTTCGCACGAGCAGATTCTCGCTGGCGTTCTGGCAAGACGGTCTCTTCTGGTATCTCTACAACCCCTACCGATGCGACGAGTTCGGCTTTTGGGACGACGACGGTCGCGCCTGCATCGTGAAGTTCTGCTCCGCGGACTCGCTTCGGAGGCATCTAATGATCCTTCTGCTGAGAGCCTACGCGTACAAGGTATCGAGTACGCGAGACGAGGAGCCATCCAACGTCGACGAGGAAGGCACTTTTTTTGACGTTCAGATCTTCCACATGACCTTCCATTCGTGTCAGCTGCACAATCTGAAACTATGCGACGCGTTCAAGCGGTCGCTACGAGGCGCCGACGAGGCTCCGTCGGATTCGCTCGAGATTGAAGAAGATACGGAAGACGCGTCCGAGGACGAGGACGAGGACGAGGATTGCGAGGATCCGAGAGAAACGAGGGAGAGAGTCACGTGGCTGAGACGTCGCGGGGCGACGACCTGGGGCAAACGTGATCTTACCAAACGGCAGAAACCGGGCACGGCCGTCCGTAAAGCGAGGTGGCATCAGTACTACGTGGAGGAGCCCAATAGACTCTTCTCTCTATGGGGCGAGATACACATAACCGACGGTATGTTCGACGAGGTAAACCGCGGGATGCAGGCGTACGCCTGTTACGTGGTGTGCGCCGGCATGACCAGGATCACGGCGCCGGAATGCTGGAGCCCGAAGACCCTCGACGCGATTGTAATATGCGGGGATCGTTATTACACCTATAGCAAGCGCAAGGCCGAGTCCGAGTTCGCCAACGAGGAATTCGTTCGCGGGGGTCGTTTGGCCAAGTATCTGTCCGATCGCTTCGAGATCGGCGGGATTCTCTTCGAGGTCCGGGTATTGCCGGCCGTTTGCGGGAAATTGTACGCCAAGTCGAGCGAGTGCCTGTGGAGAACACTGGAACGTACGTTCTCGCGTTATCACTTCGCCATACTGACGTGCGAGAGCGCCTGTCTCGGCCTCTTCAAGTTCTGCGGGGCTTACTACGTGTGCGACGTGAACTCGTACGGTCCACCGCTTTTCCAACACGGCTACGGCGCCGCGTATCTACTGAGAGCCACGTCCTTCCGCAAATTCGTGCCGGTGCTCGTGCTGATAATCGACTCGCCGGAACAGAGCCGATTCACTCTAAATCCCATCGAAATCCTGAGAATCGTTGAAATGGACGCTACGCTCGAGTCTCGCGCAAAAGCGCGCGAGAGGAGATACTGCTTTGGAAAACTCGCCGGCATAATGCCGGGGGCATTTCCGAAATTTGCATTCGATGGGCAAAATGGGAGAGGAGTGAAAAGATAAAAACTGAGAAAATTTAAACGAACTATACGTAACGAGTGAAAATGATAATTCAGAATTTAAAAAACAAATCGTAAATATCGAAGAATAAAAATCAATACTGTTTTTAATTTTCTAAAAGTTTTAAATAAAATCTATATTTGAGTATAATTCATATGGATAGAAATTATTTTGATACAATTAACTCTCTTCAAGTTAAGGAGAAGCTCTCTTCTGTAAAACCGCCGAGCGAAAGTTTCCGAACGTGACCGTTTCAAAATTCCTAAACGATCGACGGACTTTAATATTTATGCGTAGAGGAATATCGAAGCTCCGTGTAAACGTTTATATAAACGAGAATGTATTTTCCACAACAGCGAGGCGATTTCAATAAGAAAATATTGTTGTAAAACCTGGGTTGCACTCCAGCAATAACAATAAGCGATAGTAGAGAGAGAGTGTTGCGGAATTTAAATTTCTCGCGATCTAAATGGACACCTCGCTACGCACTTATATGTAAATATGTCGTAGAATCTCCAATAAAAGTGCTGTAGAAAAAGATGGATACCGTCCTTTTCGAATAAGGTTGAAGGTCAACGAAAATTAATCGTGAAAAATTCGAGGTCGACGAGGCAAGATAAATTTAAACTAAATTTTTCTTTTTTTTTTAATTTTACTTATAATTGAATTAAATCACGTGCTCTTAAGTGGATGTAACGACTAAAATAGTCGCGTGGGATGGAAGACGGGCGAAATCAATTCTATCAATTAATTTCCATATAACCAATGTTACCTTTAACATCGCTGACATAATCGGAAAGGAGATTTGCACGATTAACGCAATGATCTTCGAATGTTTGGCAAGGATTTAGTAACGGTATGTATACAACCTACAGGATTCTTTCGCCTGCAGAAATCTTATCGTGATACGCGAGACGTGATACACGATAAGATTTATTATTCTCTAATTTAAATAAATAAATTTAATTTTATTTAATAAAAAGAGAAAGGAAAGTATCCTTCTCTTCTGGAAGACGCGTGGAGGAAAGCGCACAAGGGGGACCAGACGACCACATCGCTCTCTTCGTGCTTCGATGCAATAATTTATTTCGGTATTGTACACATTGATCGTTAGTCAATATTTACAATGGTATTTACAACGCAATCACGTATGTACATGCTCATACACGTTCATGTCGATAAGAGCGCGAAAGCACCGGTCGCCGTCTTCCATCGTCCTCGACCTCCTCGACCTTATCGATGAGCGAGACTCGTCGCGTCTCGTCGTCGTCACGGCCGCACTACGCTACCTCAAGGTCGGAGCTGTCCGTGTCCTGCTCGAGCTTCTGCTGCTGGTGGTGGTGCTGCTGCTGCTGTTGCTGCTGCTGCTGCTGCTGCTGCTGCTGCCTGTTCAGACTCAGACGATCGCCCACCATCACCGTCGTCGCGGTGCCGCCGTCGTCGGTACGCTGACGCTGCTCCAGTTGCAGCTTCCGAAGGCGGTCCTGCTCCTCCCGCTTCTGCTTCCGCCACTTGGCGCGACGATTCTTAAACCACACCTGAAATAAGCACAGTTCAACATTTGGCATTTAGATTCGTCCTAGATTGATCTCTTCATTCGGTGGAACAAATTCGTTCGAACGAATTCCCTCTCGAATAATTGAAAGCGATAAATATTTTCATTCCTTTTAGATGTGAATAATTTTTATGTGTTATATTGTTCGAAATCGAAAAGAGCATAAAAACTTGACTACTAAGAATTTGTAATATATATATATATATATTGTTTAAGATTCGACTGTAATAACAAAAATATTGTAGAGGATGCATAAGAAAAAAATTGCGTGAAGAAATTTCAAGCGTTGCTTGAAAGCATTGATCGAATAAAGGATTAAATAGGATTTATTTGTCCACGGATAAAAGCGTCAAATTGATATAAAAAATTTGTTGTTTTTCCATCAAGCTCCGCATTAAATAAAGTTAAGAAACCAAAAGTTCTTTAAAAAAAAAAAAAAAGAACTGAAAAATTTCTCTCCAAATGAAAAAAGAAAAACACGCTGAAGCCCCTAGCGGCAATTTTGCTTCGATTTTACTGAAAATCTGTTTTCAATTTTATTTGATAGAATAAGACAAACCTTTTTGCGCCAACAAAATAAGATACGTCATCAGCGAGCAATATTAATAATGAATCAAGTTTTTATCTTATATTTATATAATGAGTTATGAAACAATTATATAAACTATAAAGTAGTGTAATTATATTCCTTTTTTAAATAAATAAGACGTGATGCCGTTGGTTTTTAATTATATTAATTTCATATTAATCATTTAATTATTGTTTTAATTATAAATTTTAACGACGGTTTGCCGAGCGAGTGACCAACGGTCACCGAGCAATAATTAAAGAAAGACATGATGTTTTCAAAATCGATGCGATGCGTGTGCCGCGAGATTATTACTTACTTAACGAAGTAAGAAAAGACATGCGTGAGAGACATCAAACGAATTCCCGCTGCATTCGCGGGACACACATATGTCCCTCACGCCTGTCTGAATCAATCCGTATGAAAACCGACAATCAATATTCAACCCCTGCTCGCTCGTTCGTTTTGCTGCATTAACCATTGTAATAGCTTGACCCTCGTTCTTCACTTTGAAACGTTTCTCTCAGATCGAGGTCCAGGTTGGTGGAGGTACCGTTTACTTCTCGCGAGATGCAAAATTGAATCTGTCACGATCTGATCGCGATATTTGACACGAGTCAAGGGTTCTCGTTCATTCGGCCAATTTTAATAATCACGGAAATTTTATATAATAATCACACGCGGTCGATTGATACGTCGAGTACTATTTTCTATCTCCCAGAGTCTGTTCCTAAATAAAGTGCGGAAAAAACGCCGATAGTTTCCGAGCTGTTGTTTCTCCCTCGTGTCGATCCTCGGATCCGACGTCGGAGTCTCTCGGATCTTGGAAGTACACAAAACAGTGCCTTAGCTTTCTCACCCCCTCTTCGCCGCTCTTTCCCCACCCCTCCCCCCTCCCCGGGCCGACCCGTTCCTAGCTCTTTCTTTGTCCTCTCTTCTCCCCCTGCTCCCTCCATCGGGCGCACCAAGAGTCGCTATTCTACTAATTCTATGCAAACACCTCCGGCGGACTCTCACTCCGAGAGACGGCCCCGCAGACACGCAGGTATATGTTGTTCCCGTCTTTAAACAACTCTCGAGACTCGAGGGACCTTTCTTTGGCAAAGCCGACGCGACGCGGGTGGTCCCACGCGAGTGTCAATGATTCTCAGACTCCGTGATTGCTCGACGGAAATCGCCGTCGGGCTGAGATTTCGTCGACGCTATGTCCGACGATTATTTTACGCTACTTTGCACAATTCATTCGCACATCTCATCCCTCGATTCCCCCATGATCCTAACGTGCGGAGAATTCAAAATGGTTGGGTAATTTAGATACAGTTTAATGATTTAAGTCACGGCTTTATTACCGTGTATATAAATGTAATTAGATTAACAATTGATCGGCGTATTTTTACGGGGGAAATTAACGGGGAATTATCAATTATAATTTGATAAATTTTTCATCGTCGAAAAAAAGGGTTTTTTAATAAAATTAAAACATCATTATCTCAATCACATCGCGGACGAGATGAATGCGTCGGAGTGTACAGAACAATCTGTACAAAAGAATCCCGCTTCCAGCCACCTGTGCTGTGTAAAAATCACAGAAATTACAATATGACGCTTATCGTCAGATTGAAAAAACTGATCGTTAATTACTGGAAAAATAACGCTCAATCGGCGACACAATGAGCTTATTGGAAGGTAAATTTATACGAAATTAACGTAACGCGGAAAACAACGTGCTGTCTCTCTCTCTCTCTCT